GGCCCCTCTGTTCCCTCAGCGCCTGGGTAGGTTCCTCCATCCCTTCAGGATCCTGCTAAATCCCCCCTCCTCCATTGCCTCAGCACCCGGCTGAGTCCCCCATCCCCTCAGATCCCACTAAATCCCCCTTGCCCCCTCAGCACCCAGCTGTGTCCCCCTATCCCCTCAGGTCCCCATAAATCCCCCCTGTCCCCTCAGGGCCTGCCTGGATCCCCCCATCTTCTCAGGCTCCACTAAATCCCCTGCCCCATCCCCTCAGGGTCCCGCCAAACCCATCACCACCTCCATCCTCTCAGGGTCCCATTAAATCCTCTCATCCCCTCAGTGCCTGGCTGGGTTTTCCATCCCCTCAGATCCCACTAAATCCCCCCCATTGCCTCAGCGCCCGCTTGGGGCCCCCCATCTCAGATCCCACTAAATCCCCCGTGTCCCCTCAGGGCCTGATAAATCCTTGTGTCCCCTCAGGGCCTGACAAATCCTTCCATCCCCTTGGGGCCTGACTGGATCCCCCCATCCCCTCAGGCCTCACTAAATCCCCCACAGCCTGTTCCTTCAGGGTCCTGCCAAATCCCTCTCCTCTGTCCCCTCAGTGCCCAGCTCGGTCCTCCATTCCCTCAGGGTCCTGCTAAATCCTCTCATTCCCTCAGTGCCCAGCTGGATCCCCTCATCCCCTCAGATCCTGCTAAATCCCTCCATCCCCTCAGCTCCCAACTGGGTCATTCCATCCCCTCAGCGTCCTGCTAAACACCCCTTCCCACTTTGTGCCCCAGGACCTTTGGAAGGGGGAACGGCCCAAGGAGGTGTCAGGAGGGTTGGCCTGTGAGCCTCAGCCCCGGCGCCATGTTCTACATGCATTTACTCATCAACAAGCGTGGGCCGTTGGCCAAAATATGGCTTGCTGCCCACTGGGAGAAGAAGCTCACCAAAGCTCATATATTTGAGTGCAATTTAGAGATTACCGTTGAACAGATCATCTCGCCAAAGGTACGCTGTTAAATGATGAGGTGTCTTCTGATCAGTTCTGGGCTAGAGGTGCACATCTTCTGTAGGGAACAGGACTATAGCTATCGTGGAGACTGACTTAGTAGGACAAATGCATGGCTATTTCAAAACCAGTGTGAGGTAAACTCCTACTCTGATTTTATTCAGTTCTCACTCGGATAAAATCTCCACCCCATTAAATGGCAGTTATATAAATATTTCACTTGCTGTTTTACTCCTGGAGATCTGTGGCATTACATTTACGTGCAGCGTAAGAAAATGTTACCACAATATATTCAAATGTATTTCTCCTCACACTGATAGAGCTCCAGGGAGCGATGTGTGGGCACCGCTGGCCGAGGGATCACGGGACGTGGGTTTGAGCCGCTCACGAGGCAACACGAGCCCATCCGTGGGGTGGGGTGTGGTAGCACTGGTCTGTCTTTGGAGACTTTTGAGTACCAGCTGTGGGTATTGTTCAACATAATTTGGGAAATGCTGGTATTTGAGGAAATTGTCTCAAAAAGACTGAAGAAGTCAGCTGCTTAACCGAAGTCAAGAGACTAAGAAAACTGCTGTGAAACCACACACAGACCATTTGAGGAGAATGTATTTGCTGATCTCATAATAAATAACTCTTGACAGATCGTAACCATACTTCTACTTTTGGTGGAATTCTTCCAGGTCCCCCATTATAAGCCATTAAATATATAATTAAGCATAGGTAGTGCTTGTGAGAGTCTCTGTATGAACAGTCCCGGAGGCTGAAGTCCTCTGCGTACCCCAGAGAAGGTATGACTCAAGCAAGCGCAGATGCAGGCACTCAAGTACCCGTGAGTCAGTCCCTGGCCTCGACATAGAAATTGCATCCAAGGGAACAGCGAGGAACGCTTTGCACTGTCCCTAATCGATGGCTCAGGAGATCCAAAGCTTTCAGCTGGTGCAAGCAAATTTTATTATTTATTTTCTCCATTAAAATACCGGCTTGGTATTTGGTAGCCCGAATTTCATTGTCTGTTTTGCACGGGTCATGATTAATAATGTTAAAATGAACCTGATACTATTTGGAAGCGTTTTCCAAGAGGTACTAGCTAAATACACTCTGCTTTCCCTTGCATGCTATCCTGTCTAGCATCACCGCGACCATGTTGAACGCTCTTGGTGCAGGAAGACTTTGTATAAATAAGGACATAATTATGGCCTTTATTTGCATAAATAAGAGCACAGGTATGGTGTCTGCTCACTTAAATAACCGAAGTGTCAAATACTAGGATATGCACAGCTGGTTTCTGTTTCAGGATGTGTTACACTGTTTGTTGGCAGCCAGCTGAGATGTTTTAGATCAAGTAAGAGCATCAGCTCAGGACTCATGCTTTGGCAAGGCAACGTTTAGGAACAGAAGCAACTAGAAATCCCTGGCTCTGAAAATTCATTTCTGTTTACGATCCTCTATATCACTACAAAGCCCCGTTGAATTTCATAGAGCTCTGTACTGGCGTACATCACCGGAACTCTGTTACTACTGTGTAATATTTCCACTGTAATGTTTTTCCAAAAAAATACTAACCCCTGAACAACTTTTTTTAAATCATCAAAGTTTACAATAGCTCTGCGAACCTCTGGACACTTACTCCTAGGAGTGGTGCGGATTTACTACAGGAAAGCAAAGTACCTCTTGTCAGACTGTAGTGAAGCTTTGACAAAAATGAAGACAGCCTTTCGCCCAGGTATGTACAGAATTTCATCCGTGTCCTTTACAGCTCTCATTTTAAAAGGTAATCTTGTATATTTCTGTTAAATACACATCACTGATCCCAAGGGAAATTGACCATACTAGTGCCTACTGCTGATGTTTAGTCTGGCTTAATTTAATGCCACTTCAGGTCTCTAACTCCTTTAAAAGAAGCAGTATCTTAAGTGGTCATATGAGAAGCAGCTTGAATTCAGCCTCCATTGCTACATAATTAATTTTAATTTCTGATGACACCAACAACATGTCTAACAGTGTGTTAGTGCCAGATCTGACAGTGTGTTTTGAGCTCTAGCCATGTAGCCAGCAAGAAGGGAGCGGAGATGGCTGGATCCTTTTCCAACGGGCTGTATTTTTGTCATACTTAGGTGCCAAACGGGGAGGCACTGTTGTCTACAAAAAGGGCAAAGAACAGGAAATCAGGATCTTTTGCCAGCCTTAATGTGCTTTGTGACCTGGTCTGTTTGCAGAATAGTGAATACCTGATCTACATTATTCTCAAGGATATGATTGTGATTAGTTAATATTTGTAAACATTTGGAAATCTCTAGAAGAAACACTTAAGTGCACGGTACTATCTATTTTTCATAGATACTATAGTAGCTTATAGAGGACTGCACAGCACAAGAACAAGAGACAAGGGTAACAACTGCAGCAAGGGAAACTCAGCTAGGTATATGGGGGGAAAAATGCGCAGTGCAAGTGATAAAATGCTGAACCAGGCTGTCCAGGGACCCTGTGGAACTTCCATCAGCAGAAATAGTCAAAAGTGATCTGACTTAGAAATTTACCTTGTTTTGAGCAAAAGGTTGGATTAGATGACCTTCAGAAATCCCTTCCCACTTGAATTGTTCCAGGATTCTTTGATTACCAAGTATTTGCAGTCTGACTTCATAATTATTTGATGCTAGAAAATAGTGTTACACGGCCACTGGAGAGAAAAAGAAAACACAATCATTCATTTGAAGCGAAAGACTCCAGGCTAAATGTCAGCTGTGAGAATCTTTCGGGGACTTAGAGCAGCTGTTCATAACCCCGATGCATTTACAGTATTTCAGGTCCTGTAGCAGCATACACTTCTCTGTCTGTCTGTAAAAATACGGTTTCTACATATAAATTAAGGTTTTTAATTCCACTTTGGACTCCTGTTGACACAGTGCCTGAGCTTTGCTTTTTTTTTTGTTATTTAGAATCGCAGCAGACCTTCCTGACAGGTTTACAGTCTTATTATATGTACCTGGGAGAACATTGCTTTTATTTTATTGATGCTTATTTTGTTATGATGTCTGTTTCTTTTAGGACTTGTTGACCTTCCAGAAGGGAGCTTTGAGGCTGCTTATCAGTCCATTACATTACCTGAAGAATTTCATGATTTTGAAACACCACTACCTGATTTGAAGTAAATGCTTCCCTATTTTTTTTTCATTTAGTATTTTCATAAGTAAAAGATATCCTTGCTGTTATCTGACCAAGATCAGATGGAATTGTTTTGATTTCATAACTGAATTCCAATTCAGCTTTACAAGGCTACAATCACACAATTGTGCTTTAGTAGAGTTCCTCGAAGTCCGTTTAATCAACAGACCTTCACAATGAAATAATGTATTGAACTTAGACTTCAGGATTTTCTAATTTTAAATAGTCTGCAAACCACTTTCTGACCATGAGAACAGACATAAAAGTATAAATGCTGTTGTAAGACCCAGGAAGCGTTGGCTGGTAACCTCGCAATGTTGTACTGTTCCATTGTGCAACTGCATTTAATTTCTGCTCCATTGCTCTTTGCGTCTGGGTGTTTTATCAGCAGCAGGCAGCTTGGCTCCTGATGAAAAGCCAGCATATTTATTTGGCTTTTCTGACACAAATCAGCAATAATGGAGAAAAACTGATAAAAAGCAGGAGGCCAAGCCATGTTTCTGGTGGCTCTGATGCCCCCAAAGGTCCAGGATAATGGACTTCCACTGAGGCTTCCTCTGGACTTCGACATAAATACAGTTTGATGGGATCTGTAAGTGTTTTGTATTTTGTAAGCACAGCTGTGATATACTACTATTTATTCAAGTACCTCAGGGTGGTAACTCTGTAAAGCGTGCCTTTGCTGCCTGCCCAAAGAGTCTGTGTGGTTTGATTTACAGATGATGGTGTTACACTCATTAGATGCCTTCTATGTGACAAGTGTCCTGATAAGGACTCATAGCAGGGCTTGGACACGAACAAACTCACACAAGCCCAAGTTTACTGGCAGAAGAGAGGGGAGAAATATGAAAAGTGGAAAGGAGGATGGGTGCTTCCTTCGTTCTTCTGAATGTGCGGGCTCTTTCTAGAGGGGTTTGCTTTCTGAGAGTACATCTGGGTCATTTGTTCATGGAGTTCCAGGTGCAGGGGACTATTTCAAAGCTGAGTTAGTGAAATGCTTTCCCCTCCTCATGGGACCTCTCCCCAGCTATCTCCTGGTACAGCTATTGCACTGCACAGTGTGCACTGGGGATTGCACAGGAGTTTTGGGCAGCAAAGAAGGCAGCTGCTCACTTGCTTAGAGGTACCAGTTTTAATAAACATATAGCACCTGTTTTCCATATGCTTATTTTTAGCTTGCAGAGGAAATTCAAAGCAGTAAATTTTATCAATAAAACTTTAAATGGCTTGAATGCAACTAGCTTTGGGAAACAGTTGCTCTCTCTCCACAGAAGTGAGGATCAGCCAGGATACTTTTCAATGCCATAGGACACAGAATCTTTTGGGTATTTACAATAAAACGTCAGGCTTGAAGAATGTTTAGAAACAAGTTTTCACATTCCAGCTAAATGGTCAATGGGTTTCAGTTCACACTATATTTTGTATAATGTTTTTTTTATCAGTGCCATTGATGTTGCTGAACATTTTACCTTGAATCAGAGCAGAGCTGAAGACATCACACTTACAGAGGATTACGAAAGCAATATACTTCTCTGTGATAGAAACTTTGGTGAGAGAAGTTGAGAAATTAGAAATATTCCATAAGGAAAAGTTTGTTTTATAGAACATTTTGTGCAGTCTGAGTCCTTTTCACATGCGAAAAAGCTGTCATTAAAAGTGCATTTGTTTAATATTTGTGCTGATTGGCCTGTCATACTGTCTTATGCTTAAATTTTTATGTACATACTCTGCCTAAGTAATCTGATATTGGAAACTGAGAATTGAACCCAACATTTTCTACTTTTTCCTGAATTAGCTAAAGTTGTTTATTGTTTATTCCGTTTGAAGCACGGGCTTACACGCTTTAAAAAAATTATTTGAAAATTTAGGAAATGGTTAAATATGTGTTTCAAAACCTCATGCAGAGGGAGCATCAGAAATTCTGTGTTTATTCAGATGAAGAACCAGACGCAGTAAGAAAGCAGAGCTTCTTGGACAGCAGCACCTCAACGAGCAGTAACAGCCTTGTGGCTGATCCCAACTCCACCAGCCTGAATGCGGGCAAGGTGGCCCTGCATGAAGATACCTACTGTTTTGAGCACGACTGTTTTGGAGACGAGGAGGATGCTGCAGATATGATTGGTAGGCTTCACCACTGATAAACAGAATTAGTTTCTTTCCAAATGTTTTTGTTCTTACAGGGAAACAAACAAGACATCATGAAATTGATTATTTTCAAACACAAACAATATCTTGTTTGTTTGTTTGTTTTCATACTTCCTTTTTTTTTTCTACTTGTCACTAAAACTATGACCACTTAGACATTGCCAAGTAAAATTGTATTAAAGAAGATATTTCGTTTTTTTACAGTTAAAGGCATTCAATTTATACATAATGTTTATCAATTTAATTTATATTTTCAAAGGTAAAATAATGCAACATTTTTACCCTTATTGTTGTAATAACAAAGGCAGCAAAATAGGTGCTACATCTTTATGATTTAGAGTATTTATGCAACCCTTTATAGATTTATACCTTTTAAGCAATATCGATATCATACTTTTCAAAGAAAAGATGAAAATCTCAAAATTAAAACTAACATTCTTCTTTTTATACTGCTGAAGGCAGCCATATCATTGACGCCCTCTGTGGAAGCTGAGCTTTTTTATTTGCACAGAATCAACCTTAAATAAGTAACGTCAGGCTGTTTCAGGCTATTCCATGACTAGTAAGGCTTAGAATTACTAAAACTGTATATTTTGTATTTAAGAAATCCTGTTGAGGGATGAGCAAAATGGCCTAGATAAAGATGTTCTTGATATGGAGGAAGAACGTCCTTTGTCACAAGATCTGCCAGAGAACAGCACAGCCAGTGAGTTTGCAGTGTCCACTCCATCTTATACAAACCCTCTGTTCCTGTGTCAATGCCAAAAGTTACATTCAGCTTTGTATAATATCCCGTGCCTTTTTCCTTTCTTCATGTCTTTTGCTTTTTTTTTTTTTCTAATATGCTTCACCCACTATTTTAGGTATAATTTAATTTAACCTAGGGATTCCAGATTTGTAACTTGAAATTGATTTGAAACTTTTGTGTGACAAGCAGTTGTTGATCCACCCTGCTGCTTAGACAGTATGAGAGCGCTTTTGTAGGGGAAAGGAAGCTGAATAAGGGCATACTGTAACTTTTAATTTTACCTATGAGAATTTCTGGCTTCATATTTCATCAACAGAATAACGCGTTAGGAGTTCATAAAAGTGTTATTAGTCTTCTTTTGATGTGATAGTGATTAAATTAATTTTTGAATTTTGAAATTTTTTTTAATATCTTAAATTTACCCTTATACCTCCAGCACACTGTTACTTTCAAACTGAGAATTCTGGACCAGCTTTAAAGGGAAACAGTGGCAGAAACAATAGGACTCGCCCCTCCTTGCACTAATCCTGGTACTACCTGTTCCTTTTACATTGGCAGAAATGTCCATGCTGCCATGCAGTTGCGTGGAACTGGAGACAGATAGGTATTGAAATGAAACACTTTTCCCCCTAAACATTTTTCATCAGGTGGGTTTTCATCCAGATCAGCTCTTCAGTCTCTTCCAACACCCTGTCATCCAGGTTCTGGTGTCAGCAAAGGGAGGTGTGCAGTGCAGAACGTGAGCAGCAGCAGTGCCAGCTATGACTGGTTTAAGAGATTGTGAGATTATAGGCAAAAATAATAGTTTTCTAATTCCAATCTTTTTTTTGTCTGTTATTATTCTGTATCATGAGACCGAGACACTATTCCAGCTTGTAAACTTTTTTTCCTTTGGGTTATTTGCTGGATTTTCTTATAGTTGAGTCCAACGGCCCAGACACCACCATTAAGAACGTCAGTCATCTAATGAATGAAACAATACTTTTATTAAAAGAAGAAGAAGGATTTGTTCTTGAGCCAGTTGATGATACAGGTCAGAACTTCACCAGTTTCTTGCTGAGTGTTTGTGTTAACTATGTTTGTTTGTCTTCTTGTTAGCGAAAATATTTGCAAAACAGATTATTCCCACTTTAGATTTCATCTGCCCCTTCTGTCAGACTTCTATTTTATGGTAACTATTATACAAAAGCAGTATCAGGGAATTCATCTGATCTGCCCAAATCTCTGCTTACAGATTTTTTCTATGTACCAAATCAAGTTTTGTTGCTCTGCAGTTCTGCAAGCGGTGCAAGCCCACCCTGTTCATGGGTGTTACTGGAGTTCCAGCTGAAGAATTGTTATTGTTTGTGACACAACAGTGATTTTTACGTGTAAATTAACAGTCTTAAAACTTTCAGCCCTTTGTGAAAGTTTGTTTTTTTAACTTTTAACTTGAATAAGATCCAAAAAGAGAAATGTTTCGCTGCTTCTGTGAGTAAATTTAAATGTCACCTATCATGTTGGTGGCTGTTAGCAAATACACAAGTTCATGGTGACACTACTATAGAACACTGGAATTCTCCAGCTTACCAAAAGAATATTCAGGAAGTTATGGCTATATGACCAACCTATGTGTCTCTTCTGCATTTATTATGTACATCTTAAATTGTTAAAGGATTAAACTGGCAAATACAGATATTAATTATGAGATAATGAAACCTGTTGAGTACATCAGGAATTCTTGGAACAATTAACTTCCTGACGGATTAAAGATAGCTTATTCAGCCTCGTTGGTATATCATGGGTTCTCATTAAGTCTTCATTTTCCTGGTTCTTTAGTACAATAGTCATTCGTCTTCCGTAACTAAACATATTTGAATTTCCTGTACAAGAATACAAAGAGTATGCTTGATGAAAAATTTTGGAGGAATGGCCTGTGCTCTTGTACTTTGATTTTCAACTCTGTGCAGTGTTTCAGGAGGTCCATTTGATTCACAGGGCTTTTTTGGTGTGTGTTTAAGTGTTCTGTGAATAAACGTTATTAGACTTTGTTTTTTATTTTTTTTTAAATACTTGCTCTATTTAGCAGTCACCCAGAGGAAAAAAAATAAAAGGAAGAGGAAGTTGCTTGTGGATGTAAACAAGGAACTGGGCTGCAATGCTATATACAACCAACTGAACAACTGCACAGACATCCTTACGACGTTAGACCTTGCACCCCCAACGAAGAAAACAATGATGTGGAAGAAATCAGGAGGTGTGGATAAACTCCTGTCCCAATCTACGCAGCCTGTGTTTCACCCTGAGCTGCAAATGGTAAAGATTGATTCCTTGTGGGTTTTTATGCCACTCTGTAGATTATGGGACTGTTGCACATCTAGAATCTTAACTGGGAGAGATTTTGCAGACTTGGTTTTGTGTGAACTCCTACCAAACTGCAGATGCATAGTATTGGTTTGCAGTACAGTTCAGTTGGATGCTTGATGATTATTTGCATACTCACCACTAATTGCTTCATTGGAAATACCATCTGTAGAACTCATGCTTTAATCTCCAGAACTCCAACAAGAAGTGAAAAATGACAAAGAAACCTGAGAGCTGATGTTTCAGTTCATGTAGTAGCACCTGACTGGTGAAATTGTCAATTTCTGACAATTTCTTCTGTACTTTCTACTTTGTTTTTTTTCTCTTCTGTTTTGTTTCTGTTCTGTAATCAATATGAGACCACATCTTTCTTCTGCATGTACTCTAAAGGTACGTGAGGCTTAAACTTTATTATATTATTAATGGCTTTGGAAACATTTCTTTTCTATTTTCCCCATTGAAGATTAAGCTTCCAGCTGGAAAGCAGTCAGGACCTTCCCTTGCAGAGTTCCAGGATTTTTTTGATCACTCTATCACTTTGGCTAGAAGGGGGGGGCAGGCCACCCTTTCCTGTGGCTGTGGACTTTGCTGCTCTTTTTTACACAAGAAAGATGTTCTTGTGTCATGGAAATATGATCTATCAAAGCCTCTTGTGTCCCCACGTAGTATCTGACGGATCATTGAAGGAAGATGTAAGTTTAGAGCTGGTGATAAGATAAAGAAGAGATCAGCATGTATACAAGGTATTACAGAAAGATACTGTGCCTTATGTTAATTGCACTGTGTTTCTTCTGTCCTGTAGCTTTGAGAGATCTGGGAGGCAGGGTCTGCAGGCAAACAGCTCTGCAGGTCCCTTACAGCAGCACAGCTTCACCACTTAGAGTCGAGGTGCAGAATTACAACTTGCTCTTTATGAGGATGAAAAATACTCACACACCAGTACACGGGGAGAGAAATCTGCACAGAGATAACTACAGATGTTGTTTTTTTTTTTTTTTTTTTCATCCCTCCCTACTGGCTGGCTTCAAGGGAAAACGATCCAAGCTGTTGCTAAGACATTTCTCCCTGGAGTTCAATGCCAAAGTTGAAGCTGCAGAAGGAAATTACTTTTTTTAAAATACGGCAGGTTTTTGGAATGACCTAGAATTAGAATTCGAATTCAAATCTCTAAAATCTAGGTGCAGCAATTAATATGCAGCTCATATTCATACCTTTGTGTTGATGTTTGCTAATAATCTGACATGATATTCTGAAAACAAACAAATAAAAATAATTGTTTTCAGTTGTTTGCAAAATGCTTCAAGAGTCACGGATTTAAGATGAGAAGAAATGGGATGCGGATGGAGTCTGAAATGGAAGAAACAAGAAAAGAGCGAGATACCACAGGTAATATTTCAATTCTGTTGGTGCAGAATTAGCTGTTAGAAAATATTATATATAATGTTTGAGACACGTGCACGGTGTTTGTTGTGTGCAATATTCTACAAATCAAAGGCCAAAAAAGCTAAATGTTAAGGAAATTGACTTAGTTAAAAAAAGGTTGTTTTTTTTTTTAAGTACTTTGAGTCTGTTCTTTTGTTCCTTAGATTAGAAATGAAATGCAAGTCTTTTTCTTCCTTGTGGTATAAGGAAGTATTTTTGGTTTCACCTTTGGTTTCTCTAATTGGCTACTAAACTACAGATTTGTTGGTTTGTGGTTTGTTTGGTTTTTTTTTTTTTTAAAAAAAAGCAGCTTCCCATTTATTCTGATTTTAATCAAACTGCTCTCCAAATTTCCAAATTCATGTAAATAACTTCCATTTGCATCTTGAAGATTGTGTTCTGTTAGTATCAAACCAGAAGAAGTGTTGCACTGTAGATCTCCTGAGAAGGTGATGTACCTGCCTTCACTCCTTTGCTCTGCTAGAAATGCAATCCGTATGTCTGCCTCAGAAGTTCATCAACAAAACTACCTTTTGCAAGTCCATAATGGTCAACTTTTAGATGTTTCCAGAAAAAACTTGTTTGAAACATTCTTCCTCCGTCACCCTATTAGGAATTACATTTATTCTATATTTATTCTATATTTACTCATTCTGGCTCTTACTCTCAAATATTGCTAGAACAGAGTATGATTTTTCTTTTTCAATTTATTTTTTTTTTAAAGGACAGAGATTCACAATAATTTCCTTTTAAACCTTGTTTTTTTTATTAATACAGAGATGCTGATAGTAGAAGAGCCAAGTTACCTGCAGGAGAAAGCTCATTCAGAGACTGAGAGAAAAATTAGAAATGATTCATTTATGTTGACATCACAGAATAACAGAAATGAAACTCATGATAACTGTGGTGAAACTATAGTGAGCAGTTTCCATAATTTTGAGAGACCTAAATGTGTTTATTGGTTTCATTTTATGCTAGGGTTCCCTTTAAAACATGTTAAGAAATTACTAATATATGTTTGAAAAAGATGCTAGAGACAGCCGATGTAGCATTAAGTAGCTTGTGTCTTGAAAGTTTATTTATAAGCACATTGGCAGACTCTCACAGTGAAGGAATGATTAATTAAAATATCTATTAATCAGTACAGATGACAGTCTAATCACTAAGCATAAATAAAACCTTAATATGAAATATAGCCTCTTTGTACTGAAGAGATAAATATAATCTTTATAAAGGATAAAACTTACCTTTTATGTCTCATATTGAGGAAATACTTAAGCAATAACAAATGATCTATTTCTGCCACCTTTATTTAGTCTAACATGAAGGGGCATTCTTTAGAGAATGTGAGGCTCAATGAAGTTGAAAAAGAATAATAAAATTGGACCTAATGGCAGCAGAAAATGTAGGGTCTGTGGCTGAACTGAGCTCATAGGTGTAGGTCCAGCTGTAGGATAAATACCACAGCAAAGGCCTTTCCTATGTGAGTAAAGACATGGTGGAAATAGCAACTATGAAACAAATTTTGGAAAGCATTTATTATTATAATAAATGATTTAAGCAGAATTATGTAATTGAGAATTTGTAATGCCTATTGACGGTCCTTTCTGCTCTACCAGCAGGGTGGAACGGGTTTCTCAGAGAGCTCCTCGCTGGTGAACAACTCCCTGGGCCAAGAAGCTGAAACACAGCGAGCGGAGTCAGCAAATGTAAGTCTGCTCAGAGCTGACAGCTCTGACTTATTTCAGAACAGAACTGTGTTCTTTCTCAGAAATATTTAAAAAAAAAAAAAAAAAGTGATGGCATCACGAACTTCCAGTGAATTTTGGTGCAGTAACATCATCTTTAGTACATCTTCTGCCAGTCAAAAACTTTATAGTTTGCTAGTCAGGGTTACATGTATTCCAACATTCAAAGGTTACAGTCTGTGAAGGAAACAGCTCCTTATTTACAGAGTGTGCTTCCTGTAAGAAGAAAACAGTTTCTGAACTTACTGGCTACTCAGACGCTCTGAAACAAGGGCAGTCTTCTCCTGTCGGCTTCAGAGGTTGAGCCCAAAATCTAAAGTCAAATTTTTGAAGCTCCTTTTTGGCCTCTGCCCAGTACAAACACTGTCAGAATCCCAGTCAAGCAGAACAGCACCCTTGTGAAGCTGCTGCCCCAAGGCTCACTGGGGCCACTTCCATAGTACCTGACGTGTTGCTGCACCTGATCTGTCTCTTTGTCACAGAAAAAAACGTAGTTGGTGTTCTTTTCTCTGCTTCATGAAGCCCAGTATGACTGCAGAGGTGTCAGAGGTCCCAGATATCCTGAGTATGGCCATCAAAATGCCCAGCTCCTGGTGGATTTTCAATTAGACTGGAACTCCTGAGAACATATTTGGTGTTCTTTTCTCTTCTTCACGAAGCCCAGTATGACCACAGAGGTGTCAGAGGTCCCAGATATCCTGAGTATGGCCATCAAAATGCCCAGCTCCTGGTGGATTTTCAATTAGACTGGAACTCCTGTCCTTTTTATCATCATGGTGTGTAACTTTTTACACGTGCCTTCTAACTTTCGGTTCTATTTCCTCTCAAGGAGCTAACGAGGAACAGGAAAGACAGTGAAGAAACAAGGTGGAACAAAAGAACTCTTCAGTTATTAAAAACTCTACAGGTACTGGTGTGGGTTTTGTAATTAGGTGCCAAAACCAGGTGTTGGACCACATCAGAAAATCCCCTCCTTATACTCTTGATCGTGTTGCGGCCTCTCATACGCAGCGTATAACTGCGTTTTGTTGGGTATTTATGTAGGAAATCAGGATTCTCAGTGCCTGACATGGTGTCCTCTCCCACAGCTGCTGGAATTGCTACAATTTTCTGCATGTTTGCTCCCACGGCAGCGTTTGCTGTAAATGCTAAGCCCTTGCTCTCTTCTTTCTATGAGCATGCTCTGGCCTATCGCTACAAAACCCAATTCCTTGCTGCTTACTGGTTGCCAGATCTCAGCTGAGCCCTGCAGGGTGCCATCATTTGGCCATTCATCTGCTCGAGCTGTTTCGGAGATGATGGCTGAGGAAACGAGCCAGGGTGATGTTAAAAAGAAAGCTGGTGACCCCATCTTTAAGAGGTTTTAATGCCCCGGTGCTTTCAAGGTGCTTGAAATTGAGCAGGGAGGTAAATTTCCTAATTTAGCCTTTGCATCAGGGAGGCTTATTCTGCTTTTCTTGCAGAAATCCTTGTAAAACTGGTGAAGCTGTAACATATGATATTGTATGTGGTATTGACAGGGCTGTAACAGGAGCCAGCACAGGCTGCCCTGATGCTGAATGTCCAAACTCTCGGTCTGTCAGCTCGGTGCTGTTCTTCCTTCCTGCCTGGACAAGCATTTTGGTGTTCCAGCATTGGTCTGGTTGGGAAGAGTGGTAAAAACATGGCAAAAAGTTAATTTTCTTCAGGAGACTTCACTAATCCAAAGTGCCACGTGGCTGAACGGAGAATGGGGGTGATGGAGAAATCCAAGTGTGGGCAAGAGGGCACAGGGAGCAGGTTTTTTCTGTGAAACACACCAAATTTTGCCCCAAACCAGGCTCTTCCCTAGGGATGGAGTTTAACTTCACAGTCTTCTTGTTGTTTTTAAAAATCATTTTATGTGAACATATTTCAAAGGTTCTGCAGAATGCCCATAAATAAATACTTACATATAAGTATAGCCATTAAAAAAAACAGCAGTAATAACACTAATTAGCTGTGAGTGAAGTTGCCTGTGATGTAGCTGCTGTTCTGGATCTGAAGAACAGGGGACACAATGATTTTTACTGTTTTGAATCACGAAAACCCTTATGGACGCGCTTCATCACATGCCTCAGTCCAATTTCGTCGAATTCACTGGAACTGCGAGCCTACGTAGATTTTTAGTAACATATGTAGGTGCTAGCAATGGTATGGCAATAAAATGTCAAGAGCCACTTATATAAATGCAAATGCCAAGATAGGAACCTATTTGAGGCGTTCGAGCAGAAAATATTCCCTCCATGCAGCGCTTTCCAGTTCAGACTTGACGGGGTCTGGTTTTACTGGGGATGAAGTTGACCTGAGTGATGCTCTCTCTTCCCCTCCCGCAGCACCTGAGGCGGTCGGGCCTGCAGACCTTCAGTTTTTGGGAGCTCTGTCGGAAAAACAGCCGGAAAGAAGCTGCAGCCAAGTTTTACATCTTCCTGGTTCTACAGAAGCAGTCGGTCATCGAGCTCAGCCAGAGCGCGCCCTTCGCGGACATCACGGCCACCCTCGGCCCCATGTTCAACGCTCACTGAAATCACACACTGTTCAGATAAGCTGATAAAAATCAACCTTAGTCTAAATTTTTCGGAAAATATATTTCCTCGAAAATGGTTGAAAATCTTGCCAAGCTGTGGTAAGTCAGCAGAGCTCTCTCCTGGTTCGTTTTCTCACCTGCCAAGTAGCTGCCTCGTGCAGGTGCTGCCTCGGTATCAGTTACCAAGGTGTTCCACAGGGTGTTTATTTTTAATATATATGTTTATATGATGAGCAGTTCCTTATTCTGTTAATAAAATATCCCTAAAATACATATTCTACATCCATTGGGAAGGATGTTATGGAAGTCCTTAAAAACCTTTCTTAGAGACCAGCTTTGGAGGTTAAATTATTTTTAATGGAGCTTGTGTGTGTTAATTATCTAATGGCACCAGTAAGAGAAGTCTGTTAAGCTCTCTTTAGCAAAAATTTCAGCCTATTTGAAATTATTCCTTTCAAAAAATGTTCAGTATCTGGTATTTTAAGGTCTAGCAAGCCACTGTCTCCAGCGTCGTTTTTGTGTTGAGGAGGAGAGAATTTACACTACCCCGAGAAGAGTCACGTCAACTTCAGGGAGAAATCCTTTTTTCCTAGAAAATCCTGCAGTTTTAGATTTCGTGGAGCCTGTTTACTTAAAGACTAACACCTTTATTTATGCGCAGACCTACTTAAAAATGGATGTTAAACTGAAACATTGTTCGTTCTTTGCCTTTTTATGTGATTTAGGACGCGTTTTAACATTTTTGCTGTCATTTTGTAAAGGTGGTGTTTTTCAGCTGCATCCAACCTGTGACGCAGGGGGTGGCTGTGTGCCTTCCGAGGGGGAAATGCTGCCTCTTGATAGGAAATCAATAAATATCAGAATGAGATGTTTCCTTGGCTCGGCAGCGTTTGTTCTGAAGGATGGTAACTGGCAGCTGCCTAAGCTGTCTTTCGGGTTTGCCTTCTCCAAGTCGGTGATTTGGGTGATTTTCTTCAAAATTGAAAGGATGGATGATATTGTCATCCTGGTTTGCCGTGTCCTGCCAACCTCTGCTGTTCCTGTCACGCCCTGATTTATTTGTGCATTGGGGGTTTGGGGAAGGTGAGGAATTGATGCTGAGGGGTCTGTTAGAGGAGTAAAAAAGCTTTAAAGCAGCTGATGGGCATGGGATGAGATGGGAGGGTCGGGGTTGGGGGTTGTTCTGCTTGGTTTTCATTTCCCATGTAGGAATATTTGATAAAATAAGCAGTAAGACGCCTTTGCTGCTGCTCTCTGGTTATAATGGAGGGAAAAGTGACCCTGGTTGGTAAACACCTTTTTGTTCTCTGCAGAAGAAGCACTATTTTCTTTTTCTCCAAGCGTAGCCCAGGCCAAGACTGCAGTTGAGAGCGGTGGGTGTCGTTTGAGGGTGGGCAGTTTTCTTCAGGATTCAAGTGGTGACACGGGGTGAGGAAAGGGTTTGGTTCTCCGAATCTCATGCTCGGTGTCCTGGGAGAGAGCCCGTGGCAGGAGAACCTCTCCCTCGTTCCCTGCAGCAGATCCCATCCCCCGTGTCTCCCCATGAGCCCTTCATGCCACACTTCCCAGGAAATCTCGCACAGCAGGCTGGGGAGGGTAGGAAAAAATGCTTTTTCTCACCCAAAAGCCATCCAAAATAACTCTGCAGCTTCACACCAGAGCCCCTGCCTGCGCCGCGTCTGCCACGGCCACACGGTAAGAGCAGCTCCAGTGGCAGCAGATGCAGTAACTCATTAATTTTCCTTTCAAGGAGAGAGGCTGTGCGTCGGATTCACCAGGAAAAGAGGGAAACAAAAGGAGGCTGGAGGCGAGCAGGCGGCAGGCAGGAAGGGATGAGAGGCGGGAGAGATGTACATGGAGAGCAGCCCGTGTGTCGGGATAAAGGAGGTACAAACCTCGCAGGAAATAGGCCTGGGGGAGAGAGTGAGCGGCACGGATTTACAGAACAGGTTTGTCCCAACTCCTCAACGGCTGCGGGGGGAGCTGCAAGGGGAGAAGGGCCCCGTGCTGCTGAGCTCTGTGTCCTGGTGTGTGGGGTCAGACGGGTGTTCTCAACCCGACAGCTGGTGGACTCGGGTCCAGATCCAGGCTCGGATTGGGGTCTGCGCCGACACGGCCAGTGGGTTAACAGTCCCCCTCCATAAATCCATGTGTAGGATTGTACATGTATGTACGTAGCACAGGTACATCTATATGTCCATCTCGCCGTTCTCCCAATCTCTGACCATGGCCATGGTCACCTTGGCCATGATCACCAGACCTTGGCCATGGTCACCAGAGTGGAGCTGCAGCCAAAGCCCTACTACTCACCACATGGGCCACAACCAGCCACCCGGTGGCTCCCAGTAAACACCGAGCTGCCTCACCCTAGACATTGGCTCATTAAATAATGTGGAAAGATGAAGCTCAACCGCTACAGAAGGAAGTGTGTGGGGAGCACCATCCATACCCTGGCGGTGGTCAAGACGGCGATGACCAGTGTCAACCAAAATCCACCCATCACCCGGTGGCTCCCAGTAAACACCGAGCTGCCTCACCCTAGACATTGGCTCATTAAATAATGTGGAAAGATGAAGCTCAACCGCTACAGAAGGAAGTGTGTGGGGAGCACCATCCATACCCTGGCGGTGGTCAAGACGGCGATGACCAGTGTCAACCAAAATCCACCCATTTTCCACCAATCCAGCAGCAACCCCTCCCAATGCGAGCCCCCAGCAGCCCTTCAGCTCTGCTTAGATGCTCCTTTTCCATCCTCAGTCTCAGCGCCCAGCTGCCCCCCGGGTATTTAAATTGAGGCAAAAGACTGCCATTTATGTATTTAATTTACTTCATCGAAGCGCGTCATTAATTAGGCGGACGGATGTCCTCAGAATTGGAGGAGGCAGATGAAAAATTGTGACGCTGCCGGGGTGGGGGGGGAACTCCATGGGCCCGGGTGGCTGCAGCTCGGGGCTGCCCCGGCGCCCCCCCCCGCGTCTTCCTTTTCCTCCTCCTCCTCCTCCTCCGCCGGGGTTACGCGGGGAGAGGAGCCGAGCGCGACCCCGCCGGCCCCGGGAGCGCCCAACCCGCGGGGCTCCGCCGCCGGGGGAGGACCTCAAAAACCGGCTTTTAGAGGAGTTGCCATCGAAACGGGGGAAAACCCGGCGGGGGGGTGAGGGGGGGGAGAAGGAGGCGGGGGGAGAAGGAGGGAGGGGGAGGCACCGGCGCCGCCGCCGTCGCTTTAAGAGCGCAGGGGAGGGAGACAAATTACGCAGCTGCGAGGCTCATCCCTCCCTCCCTCCATCCCTGTCCCTGCCTCCCTCCATCCCTCCCTCCCTCCATCCCCACCCGCATTGCATGCACCGGCCCCACATCACACCCGCAGCGCATGCACCGGACCTGCATTGCATGCACCAGCCCCCCACGGCACGCACGCTCACCACCAGACCCACATTTCATCCATCAGACCCACATCACACAGCACCTGGACCCACGTTACACATCCCAGACCCGCATCACGAGCACCAGACCCATATTGCATGCACTGAACCCGCACAGCATGCAGTGGACATGCTCAGCAGACCTGCAGTGCACTCACTTGCGTGCACCAGACCCACATCACATGGATCACACCCACCTCGCATGCACCAGACCCTCTCTGCATGCTCCAGACCCACATCACATGGATCAGACCCACCTGGCATACACCAGACCCACATCACATGGATCAGACCCACCTGGCATACACCAGACCCACATCACATGGATCAGACCCACCTGGCATACACCAGACCCACATCACATGGATCAGACCCACCTGGCATACACCAGACCCACATCACATGGATCAGACCCACCTCGCATGCACCAGACCCTCCTTGCATGCACCAGACCCACGTCACATGGATCAGACCTTCCCCACATGCATCAGACCCACCTCACATGCACCAGACCCTCTCTGCATGCACCAGACCCTCTCTGCATGCTCCAGACCCACATCACATGGATCAGACCCACCTGGCATACACCAGACCCACATCACATGGATCAGACACTGTCCACATGCACCAGACCCTCCTTGCATGCACCAGACCCACATGACATGGATCAGACCCACCTCACATGCACCAGCCCCTCTCTGCATGCACCAGACCCACATCATGTGGATCGGACCCTCCCTCCGTGCTCCAGACCCACCTTGCATGCACCAGACCCACATCACATGGATAAGACCCTCTTTGCATGCACCAGACCCACATGACATGGATCAGACCCACCTCACATGCACCAGACCCTCTCTGCATGCACCAGACCCACATCACGTGGATCAGACCCTCCCTCCGGGCTCCAGACCCACTTCCCATGCTCCAGACCCTCTTTGCATGCACCAGACCCACATCACATGGATTAGACCCTCTTTGCATGCACCAGACCCACATGACATGGATCAAACCCACCTCGCATGCACCAGACCCTCTCTGCATGCACCAGACCCACATCACGTGGATCAGACCCTCCCTCCGGGCTCCAGACCCACTTCCCATGCTCCAGACCCTCTTTGCATGCACCAGACCCACATCACATGGATTAGACCCTCTTTGCATGCACCAGACCCACATGACATGGATCAAACCCACCTCGCATGCACCAGACCCTCTCTGCATGCACCAGACCCACATCACACAGATCAGACCCTCCCTGTGTGCTCCAGACCCACCTCCCGTGCTCCAGACCCTCCCTGCACCCCCCAGCCCCACACCGTGCTCCCACAGCACCCAAACACCTCTCCCAGCACCGTGGGGCGTTGCAGGGGCCGGAGCTGCTCTGCCATTGAGGTTTTATTATTTAACGGCTTAACGCTCCCATCTCCAAAGGGATATGGAAAACACAGGAGCTGGTTGATGAGCCGGGTGCTCCTTTTCTCTCCTCCCCGCAAGGTCAGTGCTGCCTGGTTTGTCGCACAGAACCCGCTGCTGTTGCCTTTGTGGTGCTTATAAAATACCGGCGTCCCCACCCTCCCTCGGCACTGGGTGCAGGGTGCCGTGACCTTGTGCAAGAAGGTGCCAACCCTGGTGTCCAGGGCTGCAGAGGACCCTGGCCGATGGGGTGGGAGGGGGGTCAGGAGGGGACAACGTCTCTTCTCACACCTGAGAGCGTCGCAGCAGGCTGGGACGGGAGGTTGGGCATGTTTAAGTAGGCCATTCCAGAGGCGTGGAGACTCTGTGACCACTGGTTTTCCTAGCCCTGGGTCAAGGTGGATGGTGGTCAGGGGAGACCTGTTTCCACCACACTGAGACTGCGCGGGGGCGCGGAGGGGAGGAGTGGCTGCTTGCACTGGAAGCAGGGTTTCTCTTCCAGGTTTTTCTTTTTTTTTTTTTGCCTGCATATTCCCAAGGAGTGGGCTCTTCCTTCTGCCTGCCTGTCCCCAGCTTGGCCCCCCAGGCAGAGCCCCTGTGTGGGATGGGTGGTGGGGTGTAACCTCAGGTGCATCTCCAACCTGCCATCCTTCCCAACCTTGGGTAAGACCGTAGGGTCTGCATCCATCCCAGGTATCCTACATCCATCCCGGGTATCCTGCATCCATCCTGGGTATCCTGCATCCATCCCAGGTATCCTCCTCCTACTCTCATGGCGATAGCTGCTACTACAGCCTTTGGCACGGAGATCTTTTCCCTTTGCCTCCAGAGGCCCCAGTGAGAGACCACCCTGGTCCCTCTGGTCAGGCACCTTATTTTTAGCTAACGAGGGCCAGGAATAGCCACCCCCCCCAGTTTTGGTGCTGCAGCCAGGTCAGCTGGAAAAGCGATGAGCTGCATAACCCGATCTTTTCAAACGCTCTCTATTTTCCTGTAATCTCTGGGTGTCAACTCAGCATTTTTATAACAAACAAGAGAATAAAAGGAGGTGCTTCGTTACGCGATACGACAACTCTTAGCAAAATTGATTTTTCTGGTGGCGTTGCATAAACACCCTGTGCGTTTTGTCCCTGCTCTTGCCCCGAGCACTCTGCGTGACCTGGAGCATCTCCCTCTGTCTGGGACCCAGGTGAAGCTCTGCCTGCTCCGGGATGAGCCCATCTCTGCTGGAGCAGAGTTTCCCAACCCCTGGAGATACCGCCACTCCCTTGAAAACTCCCAAACAGGAGCCAAGCAGCCCCTGTCTCCCCAAAAATCCCCCGTGGCAGAAGGAGAAGCACAGACATCACTGCTCTGCACCAGGCAGACAGTGTTTGCCTCCAGCAGCTCAGAGGGTGCCCACGATGCTGACCCCATCCTTGACCGGACTTTTGCCAGCCTTGGCCCTGGCTGTTGGATCCTGCTCCTTCCCACCACCACCCAGTGCATCCCAGTCCCTTTTCAAGCACAGACTGCTCCTGGCACTGCTACCATTCCGGGGACATGGTGCTCTGTCCCAAATCAGGTCGCTGGTTGGTTGCCACATTCATGTTTTTTTTTTAGCCTGAAGGAAAAGCAGAGCCGGTGTCGGAAAGGCAGGGAGGACTCCTCCTCGGGAGCCCTTTTTGTTCCCCGGAAAAAGCGAACGCCGGTGTCGGAGAGGCAGGGAAGACTCCTCCTCAGGAGCCCTTTTTGTTCCCCGGAAAAAGCGAAGCTGCGATTTCCCTCCCCCTGTTGCTCCCTGCTTTTAATCTTGTTAGTCCTGGAAGGCTGAAGATACGGGGAGGGACCCGCAGGGAAGGCGCCTGCCGGCGTGTGCCGGGCATGGTTTTTTCTCCCGAGGTTTCTGCAGAAGCTGTAAAGCTGTTCTTAGACGCTTGGGCTTGGTGCCACTGTCGCAAAACGCTCCCAAGGCAGGATGCGTCAAGGAAAACAAGGGAAGCCAGCGGCGGGCAGGGTGATGGGAGCCCTGACAAAAGGAGCAGTGAGCGAGAAATCCAGGGAAATGCAGCGGCTGCGGGGCCGGGGCGGCTGCGTGCCGAGGGCTGGGGCTGCCAAACGGGCCCGCCTGCTCCTGCGCCTTCTCGGCGTGTTCCCCGCGGGGACAGGAGGAGCTGGTGGGGCAGCTCGGGCCAGAGCAGCAGCCGGTTCCTGCTGAACCCCGCAGAAGAGCGAGCAAAGAGAGGAGCTTCGGAAGCCAAGAGCGTGCGGTGGCGAAACCTTCGGAGGAATGGGCTGAGGCTTCGCTGAGCTGATGGTGAGGGTCTCTCCAGGGGTCCCGTGGCCCCATTTCCTGGGAAGGAAGCTTCTAGGAGGAGCGATACCTGCCCAGCCCTGTCTGTCTGTCGCTGGCACAGCCAGGGGATCCAGCGTGGAGCAGGGAATTCCTTCAAGCTACAGAGGTATCTCTGTGGGGCAGCAATCCCAAAGGGATGGCTGAGTCGCGATTCTTGGGGACTTCCTCCTCTGCAGCACCAGGCTGAGCCTCAGGGTGCTCTGCTGGTGCTCTGTCACTGCGCTGCCACCCATCTGGCTTTGCCTCACCATTGTGGTGTGATCTGTGGGGCAACGGTGCCCCAGATCCCCTCTGCGGCTGGCGGGTGATGGGGACCCACCAGGGGATGCAGCTTGGGAGCATCCTGGAGTGTCACCCACCCCAGGATGGTGGTGGCACATGGGGGTCTCAGCTCCAGGGACATGCTGAAGTGCTCAGAGTGAGCCAGCTGGGTGACCTGTCCTGGTAGGGACCGTGCTGTGCCTGCCTGGGGGTGTCACCGTGGGGAGCAGGGCTGCCTGAGCCCTGCCCAGCTGCCATAACCAAGGTGGTTATGGCAAAACCTGCCGGTGAGGGGGGTTCTCCTGGGAGCAAGAGGCTCTTGTGCCCAGCGTAGGGTGTCAGCTTTTTGTGCTGTAGCTCCAGCTGTTCCCATATCAAGGACCATTGCTTTTATTTCGCATGAATTCCCCAGGCTGATTCGGTTCCACGGGGGTAAGCACTATTTTGTGCTGCTCTTTTCGAAAGAGCTGCCCTTCTGTTCCACTCGGGGCCGGGGGATTCCTGGAGAGTTTTGCTGTTGGTGGCTCCAGGAGCGAGCATTAAACCTTGCAACGGGCAGCATTCATCCTGCCGTTCCCCTGAGCCACATTTTTGATTGGCAAGATGCTGGAACAAATATGGGTGGTTTGCAGCAGCGCGATCTCTGGATCTGATGTAAATTGGACCATCAGACCCTGGACCACACCAGCATCTCCAGGGGGCAGGAGCAACCACAAAGGTGCTGCGCTGAGCAGGGTCACATGCCAGGACTTCCCAAATCGCCCTAACCTTGCCCCGGTGTCTGTGCACTGACTTAAAATCTCTGTATAATTGCAATCCTGGCCTGTGCTGTGGAGCCAGGACTGTGTGTGTGGAGATGAACTCTGTGGCTGCAGGGACGGTTCGTGTCACTGGGCTCAGCACCAGTGTCTGATGCCAGGTTAGAGCTGCTCGGGGTCCCTCCAGAGCTTGTGCCACAGACATGTCCCCTCTCCTGGGGTACAAGCTCTTTTTGTCAGCTCTATGAGGGTCAACCCACAAGCAAAGGATGTCACTGCGTTTGTTCTGTGTCCTGCAAGATGTTCTCCATGTTCCTTGTTCTGCAAAGATGAAAAATAAGGTGGATGAAATCCATTCCCCACACTGGCTCTCGTTTGGGTGTCTCAGCTAGCACGTGAGACCTGGCTTTGTCTCGTCCACCCTTTGCATGACTTGGAGTTTACAGACCTGGGGTGGCTGGCAGTGGTACCTTGTCCTCCAGGCCCGTGGGCTTTTTATCCCACTTCCAAGGCTCCCGATGATTGTTTTGGGGATTTTGTCCCTGTGCTGAGCAGGAGCTGCCTTCCCTGCATGGGGCCAACCATGAGCAGCTCTGCTGGTCCTGTCCCTGATGCTTCTGACATGGAGCAATGAGTCTACCCATCCTCTTCCCCGGCTTGGGATGCTTTCCACCCCTGTGTTTTTATGGGATTTCTTCTTTTCTGCTTGCCCTGGCAGCTTTGCTCTGACACCTGCCCCAAACCCCGGCTATTAGATGTTTTTTTAGATTTGAGTGACCTGCTCTTGGTTACTTCCCTGTGTTTCCCAGCCCTTGCGGCTCCCATCGTCTTCCTCACTGCAGAGCATGCGCCGTGCTCGGGGACGTGGTTATCCATCTCGGAACGCTTTCCATTTCCTCTCCATGTGTTTTTCCTGATGCCTAATCGATGAGCCGTCGCGGCGACGAGCCGGAGCTGGCAGAAGTGTCAGGGGTTGCAGGGAGGTGGGGGCTGGGCTGGTGTGGGTCCCACGGGAGGGCAGGGGCATCCCCCCTGCAAATCACCGCAGAAGCAGAGGTCTCCACGGCTTCTCCCTTTCTTGCATTTCAAATGTGGATTCAAATTGTGGATTTCCTCGTGCTTTCATGGCCAGGTTCCCTTTGTGCTGTAGCTGCTCATCCTGGTCTGTGCCATAGGGGTGATTTTGAGGGTAATTAAGTAATTCCCTCTGCCTTTAGAGTCACGGTAGCCACATACCATGTGGGAAGGTGTGTTTTCTGCTTTGGTGCCAACCTCTGCCCAACCTGCCTGTCCTTGGCAGCCGCTGGGCACGGCGAGGCTTTTGGGGAGACTGAAAGGACCCATTGGTTCTTTGGGAGTAAAGACAGTGCCAATTTCTTAGCAGTGATTAAATTTGGCTTGTTTGAGCTGCCCTGGGGCAGGCTGGCGAGGCAGAGCCGGTGCCCAGCCGGGAGGGGATGTGCAGCCCATCGTGTTCGTGAGACAGGGACCCGGGCAGGGCACAGGATGGTGCTCCCTCTTCCCGCGGGATTCGGTGCCCTCTGGCAGACCTTGGCTGGGCTCCCTGCAGCAGCAGCTCGGGGCTGCTTTGAGTTTCTCACCCTCCAAAGCTGCCGGCGCCGCGAGAGGCAGTGAGCCTTGGCGTGGGCGCCAGGCGAGTCTGCAGCAGTGGAAGGAGGAGGAGGAGGAGGAACTGAGCTCGCCAGGCGCGAGGCCGAAGCCAGGCTTCCCCACAGAGCTGTTCTTGGCTGCGGATGCTGGGGCAGGCACCTGGGGTGCAGCGTGGGGTGCTCGCCGGAGCCCCCGGAGTGGTACCAGTCTGTGTGCAGGACACACACATGCCCTCTGCGGGGCTGGCACTTGCCTGGTGCTGCAATTAAACACCCAGCGCTGCCGGGGGGGAGCAGAGGGACCCCCAAAAAAAGCAGCTTTGCATGTGGGTAAATTGGCTTGTCGTCAGGGAAGAGCAGGCGGCGGCGACGCTGGGCTGTGTTGGGCCAGGACACGGGGCTTGGGGCTGCCAGAGGGTGAGGAGTTAATCCCTGTGGCTGCAAATCTCCCTAAAGCCCTGCCCCAGAGCTGCTCGGGGGGCACCCTGTGGCGTGACAAGGAGGGGTGGGCTGTCCTCACTGCCTGCCTCTGTGGGGTCCCGTGGCCGGAGCCTGTGCCGCAGCCCCGCGTGGCGCTGCCGGAGGATGCTCCCGCCGGTGCCGGGATTCGTGCTGGATGCTGATTCACGCTGCTGCATTAGCAGAGCCCGCAGCCGCCCGGCCCTGCACGCTGTCAGCCCAGGAGCAGTTATTCAGCAGGGCAGAGCACTGCCTCCCCCTGCCCAGGTCCTCCCCAGTGTGTCCATCCCCAATAGGACCCCCAAATCCTGGTCACCGCATCCCAGGGGTGCTGGCACACCCCCCCTGGCATGGGTCACCATGTCTGCCAGGGCTGGGGGCTCACCTCAGCTGCACATCATCAGCTCCTCTGCTATAGCGTGCCCTGGTTTGGGGAGCAGGGAGCAGAGGAGAGGCTTGGGCTGGCCACTGTGGGCTTTGAGCGTTAGGCAGGAGGTAGCCTGGAAAAAATGGCAAACGGAAAAGGCTGCATTGGGGTGAGCTGGGCATGCTCCCTCCTCCTCTCCTGCCCCCCCCTCATCCTGCTCCTCCTTGCTCCCCTGGACCAGGGCTGAGCAGCACTTAGCGTTTCCAATCGCTCATCGATTATCAGCTGGCCGGACCCATCATTTGTGTTGCTCTGGGCTGGAGCTGCCAAAATTTGGGACAAATCCCAGCATTGTGAATGGGCTTGGGGATGGAAGGGGGGCAGGGAGCCCACACGGTGCCCCCAGCCTGGCTGTCCTTGGCAGCCTGTGAGCGCAGTGGGGTATCACAGCAGTGCTGGTGGGATGGATGTGCTGAGTGGATGCTTTCCATAGCAGTTCCCATCCCTGCGTGTGCCCAAGGTGCCACCTCCTCGAGCAGCTCCTGCCAGTCGCTGTGAGCCCCTGGATCTGGCCTATTTATTTACAGGAAAATGGGCTCTGTGTTTCCTGAGGGATTAGCCTCTGCTGCTGCTGCATCAGGCAGGGATCTGTGCTTCTTTACCTGATTTTACTGGTGAATGGGTGATTCTGACTTAATTATGGAAAAACAGGCGCCCAGCCTGCTGCAGGGACAGCTGCCCGCCCGGGTGGAAACTCGGTGAGGCCCAGGGATGGGTGTCCTGTCTCTGCCCCAAGTAATGCCACCACTGCAGGCACCCCATGTCCCTGCAGCCATCACCCCTTCCCAGGCAGGGATGGAGACCTGGAGTCAGGCAGGGGAAAGCTTGTCCCTTGCCTGGAGATTGGTGGGAAAGGGGCTTTAGACCATGGGCAGGTCCCTGCTATGCCTCTGTTTTGCCTTATAAATTTAAAAAGCCCTTCCCTGTGCCCACAGCATGCCCTGCTGGGGCAAGACCCTGGGCACACAGCATCTCAGGCCACGGGGGGCAGGCAGGGAGCACAGCCCAGATGTGCAGGGGATGCAGCCCACATCTGTCCCCGTACGGGTGGCCCTGGGGAATAAGCTGATGCCCTGGTGCAGGGGCTGATCCCTGTGCTCACACTTTGTGTGGGTCACATCTCACGGGGGCCGTTTCCCAGCCTTCACCTCCTCTCTCTCTTGCGTTTTAACCCGCAGTTCCCCCGCGCCCAGGACCCGCGGCACCGCGGCAATGTCTCTGCCGGGGAGCAGACGCTCGTCCACCGGATCACGAAGGTGAATATGCTTCGGACACCGGGACCGGGCACTGGCACCTGCCCGGCACTTCTCCCAGCTGGCAGCAGGGAGGGAACCATCCCCACCTACACCACGAGCTGCCACTTTGCAGCACGAACCACCCCCCAGCCTGGCTTTTGGCGGGGTTGCATGTCGCTGCTGCCCACCGCACAGCACTCCTCCATCCGTGCATGCAGCCCCCTGAGCGCTGCACCCCCCTGTCCCTCTCTGTCCGTCTCTGCCGCTGCGGGGACCAACCCCTCTGTCCGTCCGGGCAAAGGCAGGCGGTGGCGGAGAGCCCCAGGTTTGGGGAGGTGTGTTAGCCCTCGAAGAGCCTCTCATTGAACTGCAGTGATAAAGAAAAAGAGGGGAAAAAAGGTGGGGGAAGAGAAAAAAAGCATTTATTTCCCTCCAAATGTCTCCATGACCTGGGCTGCTGTTGGGCAGAGAGAAAAGGCAGATCTGCCCATGTGTCGGTGCCAACCTGGCAGTGGGGTGACTTGAGCTCTGCTGGGGCCATGCTCCCCGGGGACTCCCAAGGGGCTCCCGGTCCTCGGGGTGCAGGGATGCCATGCTGGCGTCCGGGGGATGCCAAACTGGGGATGGGGAGCGGGTGGGCAGCCCCCTCCCGCCCGGCCCAGCCCTGCCTTTGCGCCTGTCGCCGTGTCCGTGCCATTTTGATCCCTGCTGTTTGTTTTGTCCTTTTGTCTTGTGTGTTCTCGGTGTGGTGGTTGGCAGTCGCGGGGTTTATGGACGGAGTGGCTTTGCCTCCTTCTTTAAGTCTTCAGCGCCCTCAGCCACTCGGCCTGAGACACAGCCTCTTCTCCCTGCCTCCAGGCGCCCCTCGCCCCCCGGGAGGGACACCTACGGCACCTCCTCGCTGAGCAGCAGCAGCAATTCTGGCTCCTGCAAGGGCAGCGACAGCAGCCCCACCCCAAGGTAACCCATCACCCGTGGCCCCAGGGCGGCTGCCGGGTGCCCCCCGGGCAGGGGGGAGCATCCCCCCTCACCCTGGTGCTGCCAGTGCCCAGCGGGGACAGGAGCAGAGGGGCCGGTGGACGAGGCTGTGCGCTTGGCGGCTGGGGGGAGCCGGAGGAGCCGCTGGTGTGGCTCCCAAAGACCCCCACCATCCTCTGCTAAACCTTTCTACTGCTGTTGTCGTGTCTTCTCCTCCCCCGTCCCCCCGCCTGCCAGCCTGGCACCCTGTCCCCTTCCCTCTGTCCTGCCATGGCTGTGGCTTGTGCGCTGCACGCATCCCTCCCTCCGCTCCTGCACCCCCTGCGGGACCAAGGGCACGGTGGAAAAGAGCTTTATTTCCCCTCGTGCTGCCCACTGGAGGTCTGGTGACAGCCCCCCCGGGCAGGGGGGAGCATCCCCCCTCACCCTGGTGCTGCCAGTGCCCAGCGGGGACAGGAGCAGAGGGGCCGGTGGACGAGGCTGTGCGCTTGGCGGCTGGGGGGAGCCGGAGGAGCCGCTGGTGTGGCTCCCAAAGACCCCCACCATCCTCTGCTAAACCTTTCTACTGCTGTTGTCGTGTCTTCTCCTCCCCCGTCCCCCCGCCTGCCAGCCTGGCACCCTGTCCCCTTCCCTCCGTCCTGCCATGGCTGTGGCTTGTGCGCTGCACGCATCCCTCCCTCCGCTCCTGCACCCCCTGCGGGACCAAGGGCACAGTGGAAAAGAGCTTTATTTCCCCTCGTGCTGCCCACTGGAGGTCTGGTGACAGCGGGTGACAGCCTGGCTTCTCAGTGGGGAGCTCCCAGTGCCCTCGGATCATACACAGCCGGGCACTGAGCTGTAGGTCAGGCACCAGCCCCAGCCTGGGCTGAGCTCCTCCTGCCTGTCCCCAACTGCCTTCCAACTCCCAGAGGTGGCATCAAATCTGGGATGATATGGGTGACCTGGGACCAGAGCCTGTGGCCGTCCCGCTGCCATGGGGTGTTGCAAGGCCACGGTCCTGCCTGGCTGCTCCAAACGCGATGCTTGTGTCCCTGGCTGAGGCTGCTGGGCTGCCTGCGCCACGCACGGGGGTTTGGGCTGCCCTGGTGCCACGCACAAGAGAGTACCTGCTCCCCTGCTGCCATGCACAGGGGTTTTTGGGACACCAGGAGCATCTCGTGGTGTGCACAGCTCTCCATGTGCCTCCCAGCCCTGACGTACAGTCCTGTCCTTGGCCACCTCCTGCTCTCCCTGCTGCCCTGGGCTTTGAGCCAAAGACATCTCCTCATCTGCCACGGTGGTGCCATGTCCCAGCCCGGAGCAGATGCTGGATGTCCCAGCGTGGTCTCCTCCATGAGCAGGACAGCCACCAGCTCCAGACCTGCTCCATCCTGAACCCTCCCATTACCCATTTCCCAGCTCCATCTCTGATGGGGCTGATCCCACCCTGGGCTCTCCACCCACATCTCTCATTCCCTGCAAAGCTCGCTCTGGGTGCGCAGAGACCTCGGTCCCTGCTTTCTCCTGGCTCTGCTCCTGCACCCGCTGCCCCGGTGAGGCCTGCAGCTCTGCCGAGGGCTCAGTGGCCACGGGCAGCACCAGCAGGTCCAGGTGCTGCACCCACCTTCCTGCCGGCAGCACAGCACCCTGAGACACCCACCCTGCCCCTCCTGTATCCCCCTGCACCCCGAGAGGAGGCATCTCCTTTGGGGTCCCTCTGCTGAGCCTGTGCCAGCAGCTGCCCCGGCGGGTGGGTGACATCTGTGTCCCCACAGGCGCTCGGCCAAGTACAACCTCTGTAGTGACAACCATGGGATAAAGCCACCGACGCCGGAGCAGTACCTGACCCCCCTGCAGCAGAAGGAGGTCTGCATCAGGCACCTGAAAGCTCGCCTGAAGGACACGCAGGAGCGGCTGCAGGACAGGTGAGCGCGGGGGGGCAGCGAGCACAAACACCCCCCTGACACAGGAGCCACCAGGAAGGGTCCCAGCACCAGCAATCGCCACCCACAGCAGCAGCTCCTGGATGGGACTGGTCCTTATGGGGGTTCTGGTTTCCCAGAACTGTGTTTTGTCCTCGGGCTCATGCCCAGGCACCAGGTTCATGGCTTTGCAGGTGGGCATCTGTCATTGCTGCCCATCCAACCACGGATTTGGGGGCTGCAGAGCCCGTACGTCCCACCTGCGGCCGTCGTTCTCTCCCCTGCGCCCCTGGTTAAGTCTCTGCCACATTTTTTTCTGAATTTCAGCGTCAGAGAGTGGCTAATCCCCATCTGCTCCTCTTGGGCTTAGGCACGTCCTCGCTGGCATGCCAGCTGCCACGTGCCCACCCGGGACACCTGCCTGTCCCCACGCAGCCCTTGGGAGCCCTGGGCTCTGCATCCCCTCCGGGAGAGGGCTGAGCATCCCTCCTGAGGGTCCCCGAGCATCCCTCCCGAGGGTCCCCAAGCCCCTGGATCCATCCTTGGGTCCCAGCCACGAGTGTTACTGGGTGATCTGGCCCCAGCTCGGTGCCAGGCACACGAGGACAGGGCTGGCCCCACAGCCCCCTCAGTGCCGTGGCGGTGCCCTCCCCGTCTCTCTCAGGGATGCTGAGATCGAGGACCTGAAGACGCAGCTGTCGCGGATGCAGGAGGACTGGATCGAGGAGGAGTGCCACCGCGTGGAAGCCCAGCTGGCGCTGAAGGAAGCCCGCAAGGAGATCAAGCAGCTGAAGCAGGTCATCGACACGGTGAAGAACAACCTGCTGGAGAAGGACAAAGGGCTCCAGAAGTATTTCGTGGACATCAACATCCAGAACAAGAAGCTGGAGACGCTGCTGCACAGCATGGAGGTGGCCCAGAACGGGGCGCTGAAGGAGGAGGGGGCCGGCGAGTCGGCGGGGGGGTCCCCAGCCCGATCCCTCACCCGCAGCTCCACCTACACCAAGCTGAGCGACCAGGGGGCCGGGGACCGCAACGTGGGGGGCTCGCAGACCATCTCGCTGGACGAGGGGGCCGACAGCGGCTTCGCCGGGGCGGAGGAGGCTCCCGGCCACACGGACCCGCTGGAGGTGGGGGGCGAACCTGTCACCCGCCTGCCCCCCAGCTCCACCTACGAGAAGCTGCTGGGGCTGCGGGGCAGCGCGGAGGCCGGGGTGCAGGCCAGCTGCATGCAGGAGCGGGCCATCCAGACGGACTTCGTGCCCTGCCAGCCCGACCTGGACACCATCCTGGAGAAGGTGATGAAGTCCCAGGCTTGCAGCTTAGGCAGCCCCACCTCCGCCTGGGTCTCCGAAATGGAAGACATGGTGCCCGGCCCCGAGCTCTCCAACCCCACCGGGACCACGGACCTGCTGGTGGCCGAGCCCGATGGCCCCACGGCCGGTGCCGGTACCGAGGGGGGTGCCCCCTGCAACCCGGCGGTGCGGCAGCCCCCCAGTGCCAACCCTTCGGTGGCCATCGCCTGCGTGGCGGAGGAGGAGGCGGCGACGGAGGCGACGGGCTGCGAGGCTGCCACCTCCAAGAGCTACTGGAGCCGCCACTTCATCGTGGATCTGCTGGCGGTGGTGGTGCCGGCGGTGCCCACGGTGGCCTGGCTGTGCCGCTCGCAGCGCCGGCAGGGCCAGCCCATCTACAACATCAGCTCGCTGCTGCGGGGCTGCTGCACCGTGGCCCTGCACTCCATCCGCAGGATGGGCTGTCACCCCGTCGCCAGCCCCGGGGGCAGCACCCAGCCCTGACACCCCCCTTTACCCCCCTCCACGCCCCCTGCCCGCCCCCACGGACCCGACCGCTGATTGTAAAAGCCCGGCGTGTCCCCTCTCTCATGGGGTCCTTCATGGGGTCCGGCTCATTACACAGCCCGGGGGGTGGGAAGGGGCCGGGGGGAGGGTCTGTGGGTGCGTGGGGATATACTGCCTACCCCCCCCCCAAACCCCCTGCTCCTTTGTCCTGGAGGAGGGAAAGGACCATGGCTGGAAGAGAGGTGCCAAGTGGCGATGGGGGACGTGGCACCGAGTGACCCCCCTGCCCGATGGACTCCACCTGCCCACGGTGCCCCTGGCTGGGGGGGTGAAGGGGAGTGGGCTGCACCCCACGGGGTGGGCTCTCCCTTCATGGCACTCACTTTTTGGTTGTCCTTGCCCTGCCCAGGGTGGGTGACGGCGAAGAGCCACCCAGCAGCAGGGAGAGATGGGGTGGGGGGGCTACAGTGGGACCCCCCCGGGTGCATTTCTTGCTCTGGGTGCAGATTGCACCAGGAGAGGATGGGGGGAACCCACCCAGACACAGGGACCATCTCTGGAGGTGGTGGGGGCACCTTCACCCCGACCTCCTGAGCCCCTTTGGTGTCTGTCCTCTGTCCTGCAGGACGATGCCCTGGCCGGGCACTGCTCAGCCCCTCTTCAAACTGCCCATCCGTTGGGAGATGCCCCCCCAAAACTGGGACAGAACCGAGCTGGGGGTCCTGCACAGCCGAGCGGCCCCTGGGGGGGAAGCCTCAGTCCCTCCTTCCCTTTGCTTTGCACTATATTCACTTTTTTTTCGTTTGGTACAGACTGAAGCCCTGTTGTTGGGGGGGAGCTGAGGCAGCAGCGAGCCCTTGGTGGGGGGGGGGACCCCCCAGCCCTGGCTCTGGCCACCACGGAGTGGGACTGGGGGCTCTTGGGGTTTTGGCAGTGTTGACACCGGTGATCCCATCCTCTACTGGAGCTTGAGGATGCCTTGGCTGGGAGGCAGCGAGAGGGTGTGGGCAGGGCTGGGTGCTTTTGCCTGTCCTGGCCCCCCCAAATCCCCACTTTGCTGGTGGCCTCCAGGAAAAAAAAAATATAAAAATGCCTTTTTTAAATGAAAAGCAAAGACAGCAACGATTGCTCGGCGGGGGCTGGCGGGGCACGAGACTTGGGGCTCCCCGGGCACACGGTGCTCCCGCCCCCATGAATGTCTGTGGCTTCTTCGTGACTTGAATTAACGGTGTTCCCCCCCCTTCCCCAACTCTACCACCCATGGGTGCTGCCAGCGGGGCACCCCTGGGAGCTGGTGATGCTCCACACACCAGCATCCACTGGTCCCCGTGCGGGCACACGCCGTGTCCTGCATCCCTTACGCTGCCCCGCAGCCCCCTGCCCGGGGGCTCTGCCCGTGCTGGGGGGTGGCAGAGGCAGCTGCTGGCACAGCACCGGGTGCCAGGAGAAGAATTTGGGGAGAAACAGCGAGACGGCGGTCGGTGTAAGCGGAGTTAGGATTTACGCCTCTTGTGCAATGTATTTGTGGATCTGTGTACACGTCTGTTAGACTATCCAAAGCTTTGCCAAGAAATAAATGTAACGATTATATTTGAAAGACAAATCTATATAATATATTTTTTAAATACAGAACTGAAAAAGCTGTAAACCCCCCCCCTTTTCTTGTTTCCCCTGGTCCTGTACTCGCTGTCTGTGGTGGATGTAATAAACGTCGCTGGGTCTGTGTCTGCTTTGGCTGGAGCCAGCCTTTGGCGTCCGCCCCGAGGGGGGCTGGCCTGAGCGGGGACACAGGGGGACACGGGGACCCCAGGAAGAGGGGGGTCGTGTCGCGTCCCTGCTGATGAGAGGGCCAGGGGAACACGTGGGACATCATGAGCTGGTGGTCCCCCTGCTCCTCCCCGCAGCCACCAGCCTTTGTAGGGATGAGAGCTCTTGTGCTAAAACAACTTCATTTGGGGACGCTGCGGGGGGGAGCTTCAGCAGTCCCCCCCAAGCTTCCAGGAGCACGTGCAGGCTTGGCCACGGGGGCTGCCCACGCTGGTGTTGGCCCCCCGGGATGGCAGCAATCACCTCAGAGGTCAGGGATGGAGTGGTCCATGGTGGACTTCACCAGCCCCGCCGAGAGCCTGGGGACAGGGAGAGGCGCTCAGCGGAGGGATCCCGAGGGGTTCCTCGGGGAGACCCCGTGGGGCCCCGGTGGGGTGGGAGTGGGCACTGCGGCCCCGCGATCTCACCGTTTGACCATGTGCTCGTAGATCACGGTGGGGATGATGGTCAGTGTCACCACGTTCCCGGCCCCTGCCAGCACCTCCATGAGCTGCTTATCCTGCGGGAGAGAGAGTGGGGGTCCCGTGGGGTGCCCGGCTCTGCCCAGCACCCCATGGCAGCCCTGGCTGGCTCCTGGGCACGTTCTGCCCCGTTGTATGTGCTCAGCCCCTACCTTCATGCCGATGACATTCTGGCCGTTCACCTCGCAGATGTAGTGGTGGGTGAGGAGGCCGTTGCGGGCGGCAGAGCTGTCCTTGGCCAGCGACACGATTTTCCCCTTCTTGACCACGATGCCGACGTGGCCAGTGCTGTCCTTGTGCACGGTGACGGTGCGTTGGAAAGGCCTGTGAGATGGAAAAGGTGGTCAGTCCTGGCACCTCCGGGGACATCCCCCGGCCACCCACCCAACTCACCTGTCCCGCACCACCATGACGATTTTCTCTGGGGACGCCTTCTTCAGCACCCGCTGCGCCTTGTCACTGCTCCAGCCCGTGCAGTTCTTGCCGTTGATCTGCAGGATCTGGTCACCAAAGCGCAGCCCCACCAGCGACGCCGGCGAGTTGGCCTTCACCAGTTGCACGAAGATGCCCTGGGGACACGGGAGGGAGTGATGGCACCGGGGACTGGGAAGCTGTGCCACACTGTGCTGCGCCCTGGCGTGCTGTGCCATCGAATGCCACACGTTGCCATGCCGTGACGCACCACACCATGTCACCCTGCGCTGTACTGTCATGATTGTGCCATGATGTGTCATGCAACGTCATGCCATGCTCCCTCGGCCATGCCATGCTGTGCCATCAAATGCCACACGTTGCCATGCCATGATGCACCACACCATGTCACCCTGTGCTGTACTGTCATGCTTGTGCCATGATGTGTCATGCAACGTCATGCCATGCTCCCTCGTGCCATGCCATGGTGCACCGTGGCCGAGCTGTGCCATGCTGTGTGCCCCACACAGTGCCATGCCATGGTGACCACGCCAGGGTGAGGTGCACCATAACATGGCAGGGAGGAGCATAACATGACATTGCATGATGTGCCATACCATGCCACATTGTGCCATGCCATGGCTCACCACACCGTCCTGTGCCATGATATAGAATCATATAGGTTGGAAGGGGCCTTCAAGATCATCTAATCCAACCATCAACCCAACTCTGACAAAAAAACCATCACTAAACCACCTCCCCCAGCACTAAGTCAACCCATCTTTTGAACACTCCAGGGATGGTGCCTCAACCCCTTCCCTGGGCAGCCCATTCCAAGGCTTCATAACCCTTTCAGTGGAAACATTTTTCCTAATATCCAACCTGAACCTCCCCTGGGGCAACTGGAGGCCATTTCCTCTTGTCCCATCGCCTGTTCCTTGGGAGAAGAGACCGACCCCCCC